TATTTGAAACATTTGCAAGAAGAAAGCTTGAGGGTCCTGTCTCTTCCTCTTTTACCTTTATCCAGTTCTTGGTCTTATGATCTCTCCTCCTTGGGTGAGGAATTCTTTCTATACTGCCATCTGTAAGTGCACTAAAACACAAGGTTTGGGAACTTCCAGCCATAAGCCTGGATCCAGCCCTCGACGGCTGTCTCATGTGACCACACTTCCTTCCCCATGACTTCATGGTTTGCTTGTTTCCCCAATTTTGTCTGTTCTTTCCTCTCATGGCTCTTCTGAGACTTAATTATTAGCACTTGGAGCTTAACATGAAAATACTAGTATATTTTTGGCACCCTTTTATTTAACCATTTTGCCGTGCCTGGCACAGGGAGGCAGCCTCTTGAAGCCTTCTCTGAAGCAAAACTCAGGTTTGTGCTAAGGAGACCCGGCTCACGTCCCCCCTTAGCAGAGCCGAAAGACATCAGCGTCACAATTTTCCGAAGCTGGACCACCTTACAGGGTTGTTAGGGTGATGTAATGGAATTACCTCTGTGTACATTACTCTGAGTTGCTTGGTGGAAGCGTAGGATGGATGGATGGACGGACAGACGGACGGACGAGATTAATTTTTGTGCAGCTCTGGTGTCAGGCAGCCTGAAGCCCTGTGGTAGGGTGGGACTGCTTAATGAATGAATGAATTTATTTATTTATTCATTCGCTCATTCATTCATTCATTTGTGGTTTCTAACAATAACGCTAAACATAAAAAAAAAGCCACAAACCCACCCACAAAATATAAAATTACAAAAAAAGAACGTTCGTAAAACAACCCAAGAGGGTGGCAAGGGACCAAAAACTATGAAACGAAATAACAAAGAGTTGTAAAGGGCGGATGTCCTTTGAAATGGCTCTTTGAAAAGCCGCTGTCTTCGTGTGCTTTCTGAATATTAGGAAATAAACCCTGAGCCTTGTGTCCTTCACAGGTTCTGGCCAACATGGCTGCCGCTTACAAGCAAGAACAGAAAGGGCTCAAGAGGAGGACCAAAGGCCTCTCCTCGCTTCCTTACAAAACGGAGGAGAGTGTTTTGGGCAGTGGCGACCCTCAGACCCTGAAGCGGCTCAAGAAGGACCAGTTTGTGTCCTTTCAGATCGAGACGGTCTTGCCTCAAGAACAGAGTCTATCCAGCATGAAGAAAATGGACTGAATGCAGTGGCTCCATCAGAGCCGGACCTTTTCCAGCATATACCTCAGGCCTCGTCCACAGATAATCAAGATTTGGAGCCGAGTGGTCTCTTGAAGGCAGTTTCTTAACGCACCGACGGCTCGGTTAAGGGACAAAAGTAGCTCGGCGGTGAATATTTATCTGAGTCACCATGACCCCCAATGAAAGCAGCTGCATGATACGGAAGTGTTGGCTTTCAAGGGAGGCCTTTGACTACGAATCCCGGAAGAGTTACAAATACTGTGAATGGCCTCAGATATCCTGCAGTCTCTCAGCCTCCATCTTTCTGTCTGCCCTTTGGGCTTATTTATTATCTGTCTCCATGACTCTCAAGAATTACGGGGTGGAAAAACAAGGGTCCCAAAGCAGATGCAGAAGTTAGCCCGAGCCTAAGAATTCAACGCTCCATAGATTTCAGCCTGCTTTATTTTATTTTTTTATAAAGTCAAGTAAGCTTTTGCTTCTGAAGAAAGTGAAAGCCAACCTGAAGGGTTGGGAAACGGCAGAGCTGAATAAGAATAATTGCGGGCCTGTTTTCCTTCCTGGCCCTCTCTGGTTCTTGCCCCTTCTCTTGACTGGATGCTGCTAAATAAATTATGCAAATATGTTTGCACTTGGTTTGTATTGCACGTAAAGCGTACATTGCAGAATTCAGCCGCACGATTCTGACTCCAGCCTATCGCACAGAATCGTTATTGAAATAAAATGAAGCAGAGGTGGTTGCAAATCAACTATAAAAACAATACACCGGCGGCTGGCAGAGCAGACTGCTGGGCAGATGTTCAGCATCCGTTATAATGGTCACAGAGAATCTGATATCCTTTTATTCCCAGTGACTCATGGAAGTATAAGAGGATCTTTGTGTTTTGTGCTGAGCGACAGACTCATCCGTGGCGTGTCTGTCCTTTTTTACGAGCCCTGTGCAACGCTTTTGCAATGGAGTTAAACAACAAGACCAGCCGGGGGCAAGGGTCCCATTTAGTTCCTGTGCTTAAACTTAAGATAGACATAATGGGCCTGTGCCTTTAACTCTGGATCTGTTGTAGTCTCACATGCAAAGCATGGCCAGGGACATTTTGAGAACAAAATAAAATATCGCTGTATAGCTTATTTCCCATTCATAAGTCAACCAAACTCCTTCCGTTCCTGCTCCCATAAAAACTCTGAGGTTTGAAATAGACAGTGGGTGTCACTTGAAGACAGCTGCCAGGAGGGCATAGTGGTATATAAATCCCGGGGGCAAGCACAAACTGTGTCTTTCAGATTTGAAAGTAACAGCAAACTACTGTTTCTGCAGTAGTGACTCATGGAAGTATAAGAGGATCTTTATGTTTTGTGCTGAGCGACGGACGCATCCGTGGCGTGTCTGTCCTTGTCTTTCAGATTTGGATGTAACAGCAAACTACTGTTCCTGCAGTACATAGCGTGTTTCCCCGAAAATAAGATAGGGCATTTAGTTCCTGTGCTTAAACTTAAGATAGACATAATGGGCCTGTGCCTTTAACTCTGGATCTGTTGTAGTCTCACATGCAAAGCATGGCCAGGGACATTTTGAGAACAAAATAAAATATCGCTGTATAGCTTATTTCCCATTCATAAGTCAACCAAACTCCTTCCGTTCCTGCTCCCATAAAAACTCTGAGGTTTGAAATAGACAGTGGGTGTCACTTGAAGACAGCTGCCAGGAGGGCATAGTGGTATATAAATCCCGGGGGCAAGCACAAACTGTGTCTTTCAGATTTGAAAGTAACAGCAAACTACTGTTTCTGCAGTATATACCGTGTTTCCCCTAAAATAAGACAGGGTCAGTCTTATATTAATTCCTGCTCCAAAAGACACATTAGGGCTTATTTTCAGGAGATGTTTTATTTTATAGTCATGTCATCTTCTGGTTGCTGCACAAGGGTGGAGGGCGGGGTTTCACTTAACCAGGGCTTATTTTAGGGGTAAGGATTATATTACGAGCATCCTGAAAAAATCATACTAGGGCTTATTTTCAGGTCAGGTCTTAATTTTGGGGGAAACAGGGTAGAAAAATTAATGGGTGGCGCAGAAATTGATTTAGCAATATGTGCGAATCAGCCCCGATGCATATTGCGCTTTAATGGATAATCACCACTGGTGCTTGTTTTCCCTCTGCAGGTAATCATAATTGTCATATATAGTGAAACGAACCAGATTATCATTTCAGATATGTGAGGAGTCAGTACTAAATGAGAGGCAGAAGCTGCGTTTGCACGATGGTGTAAACAGGAGCTCCAGAGTAGATTCTAATGAGATGATCCCCTACATGGAACTAGCCACGTTCCTCTGGGAAGCTACACGATGGATGATGTGCCCAGATAAAGTCAGTAGAACACGGAATGTAACCGATCCTGTACCGCCAGGCAAATCAAAGCTAAGGACATGCAGCTAGCAGTGGGATCCTGGATGAGCCTAGAGCTTGAGGTGAGCAAAGAACAACAGTGTGGAAATCAAGGCACCCTTTTAATCCATGCTTTAGTAGCTGAGCTGGCATGGCTTTGGGTCTGTGTAAAAGAATCATCCTAGCAAATTCTAGCCGAAGACTAATCATAGGGGTGGTGATGATCCGCTGATGCCCATTTCAGAGCTTTGTAGAGCTATGCATTCGATAAATCTTGGCAGAGAGAGTTATTTAGAATGAATCACATCTCTAGTGTTGAAAGGGCCAAATAACCAATGGAAAATTGATACAAGAAGAAAGCCACAGAGAGTAGGGTCACATATATTTGAATGGTTTCTGAACTGGCATGTCTGCTCAGGTTGTCATAGTAGAACTTGGGATCACCCACTGAGGTTGAGTGGTAATAGACTGAGACCAGGCAGGAAGAAAACAGTAAGCCTGTGGAACTCAATGTCACAAGATGGGGGGGAAGAGCCATCTGGGAGAGCATGTTTCAGGTAGGTTTTGAAAACCCAGAAGGATCAATATATAGCTTGTGTATGGCTTGTGTAAAACTAAGAGCCCCATTCAGAGACGCTTTGGACGGCGCCTTCTGTATTTAATAGTTACATTTCTAACCCTCCTTTCCACCAGCGATCTCAAAACATCGTATACCTTGGTTACTCCATTTTATCCTCACAACAGTCCTGTGGGGTAGATCACATTGACGGAGGTTGCCTGCCCGAAATACACTGTCTCTCTCTCTCTCTCTCTCTCTCTTTCTCTCTCTCTCATCTGGATGCTCTCTCTCTCTCTCTCTCTCTCATCTGGATCTCTCCCAATCCAAAACAACACCACAAGGACAACGTGGGTTAGCCAATCTCTTAAAGTGAGGAGTCTTTGAAATATAACTCCCTTCATTATTCCCCCATGCTGATCGGAGGTCCTGACAAGGAGGCTTTAGACATCTGGAAAGACCCATCTTTTCCCACCTGATATGTACATTTAATTTCCAAGGAGGCTGATTGATAGCCCTGTTAAGTCGGCTGCAGCAAACAGCTAAGACTCTTCTGAGACCTTAAAGATGACCATGGTGAATTTGGCCCTAAGCAGCCTCCCTTAACTTTCCAATCAGCTGGAATCCTCGGTAAGAGGAGAAGATGTTGGGTTTGCTCCTCACTTTCTCTCCCTCTCTCTCAATCTCTTGCTTTTTGCATCTGTTTCATATCCATTTTGCTGAAGTTTCCCTTCCCACCCCCAGCATCTCTCTCTCTCCCAAGGAAGAAAAGTGCCAGGGGCAGGAGCTACACTCAGCTGCATAGGTGGATGGAGGGGGGCGTGGCCTGATGATGCATCCCCGGGAATGCCCCGCCCACTTCCGACCTTGTCCCAGAGAGGCAGGCAGCTGTCATCCTGTCACTGCCAGCCGGCTGGCCGGGCATTTGCTACTCTTCCGTTTTTTATTCTTTGCAAGAATGATCAGCTCACCTCCTGCTTCCATCTGCGAGTAAGAAGAGCAAGAGGATTTCTAGGTGGGTGCAACATGCATGCTTATTTGGGGTGGGTGGGTTTCTCCCTTGTGCCCAGATCTTGTTTATTTCCTCCCTTCATAAGGTCCTCATCACCCCCCTTTACTTCTCCCTCCTGACATTTCCCTCCACTAGCCTTTGAAATCTGCCTTGCATGGCAGTCTTTCATCTTGCTTCATATCTCCTTTTCTCCCCTGTTTTCCGACGCATCAGCCAGGCGTCGTTTCCCAGGTCTTGCAACCAGATATCACAGCCTCCACCCACACACACATCTCCTCCTCTTTGGTCTCGGAACAAAGTCAGGGCTTTACCCGAGCCAGAGTATAACCCTGAAAGGCTGCCACTCTCCGGCAGAGGAATTCACCCGGGGCAGGAGATATTGGAGGTTCAAAAATCCCATTTAAATACTGTATTGGAAACTGCTTTGCCCAGCCATTGCAGCTCAGCCAAAATGTTTCTCCCCCACTCACACCCAGTATCACCTGCTACCTGTTATCAGATGCAGGGCACTGAACCTGAGGCTTTCCATCCACCAAGTAGATGCTCACCTCTATGCCATGAGATTCCCCTTCCTCTCCTGTAAACAGAGAAACATCCAATTTCAGGTCATTGTGAGCATCATTGGGAATTCTTGGCCTTTTTGATGCAGTAGCCTACCAGGTTTAATGTGGGAGTGAAAACAACGATTGATCATACTTACTATTCAGCCTCTCTAGAGTTAATGCCATGCATTTTGATTGCAAGCTTTTTAGAGAGAAATCTGTGTATAAAGCTGAAAAATTAAATGGACCTCCTGTTCTGCCCTGGGACCTGTGGGCAGCCTTTCTGCACGTGGGCACCTATTTTCTTTCTGTGCTTGGGCAAACCCGCAGCCAGCCCCTAAGCCTCTTGAAGGCACGTTGTTGGGGCTTTTGTAGCTGAAGAATCATTTGGGAGGCATTTGAACCCCCAAATGTTTAATATTCAAAAGGACTGAGCCACAAGAAGTAGTCAAATGTAATTTGGGAGCCAATTTTGGCTGTTTGAAAATGCAGACCTCTACAGCCTGTGTCTTTCCTTTGTTCGCGCATTTGGAATCAATAGCAAAGAGGTTTGGGTGTCTCAGCAGCTGAACGACTGCATTTGGGGCATAGATCGAGAGTTTGTCCCAGGTCAGAACAGAGTTGCGTCTCCTTTACTTATTTATTTGACTCACAGGGGCTGATGGAAATCTTTCACGACGCCTTACGACCTGGAGATGCCAGAGGCTGAACCCAGAAACCTTCTGCAGATCAAACATGTATTTTGCCAGCAAATATCCCATCATATCATAGGTAAATGTATTTCTTTTTCTTTTTTTCCAAATTGATCCAGATCACTATACAAATCAGGCTCTGTTCAGCTGTTGCCTTATGCGTATATTTGATCAAAGGAGAACAGCGCTGGCAGCAGCATGTAAAAAGGGGGACTGCTGGATTAGCAAGAACTGTGCTGTTAAAAGTACATTTTCTGCTTTGCTTGCTTTTTTCCTTCTACTGTAGATGTTTCTTAAGGAGAATGACGTGGCAGATTCTTCTGCGTATCCGGTTGTGTAAATTAAGTCTACGGCTTAAGCAGGCTTAATTGGCTTGGGTGGAAGTTTTGCCAAAATATATTCTAACTGTAACCTTTGTGAGACAATTTTTTTTTTATCCTAATGCTTTTTTCCACCCCAAAGCTTCCTAAACCTTTAAACACCTGGATCTTTTCCTGACATGGACAATGCATTGATGATTAAAAACCTGTCCAAATGAATTATTATCTGCGACCAAGGTGCTAAGTGACAGAGGGATTCCATTTAAGCTGGGCAGATACATGAAGAAATTGCAGCTTTTTCCTATTCTGAATGACTAGGATTTGTCTACTCTAGGGTTCAGGCTACAACTTAGAACATATTTTGAAATTTTGGATTCAATCCTAGATTGTAAATTATAATAATAAAAATACCTCTGAGCATGTGTAGAGCAGTTTCTCCTTACCACTAAGTAGTTCACCTTACTTCAGATATCTGGGATAAATGGTAGTATTTACAGTGTGTTGAAATTCTGTTTTAGAATATTAAAATTGCACAGAAAAATTAAGGCTATGTGGATTGTACTTTTTAAATGTTAAATTCCTTTCGTTGTTGTTGTTTTTTTGTAAGCTTAGAGAGGGGTTTTTTTCCTGATTCTTTTTTGTATTTTATATAAAACATCCTGAAACTGAACACAAACCAGGATATGGGTAATCTGTGCTGTATAACAGCATGAATGGTCAAAATACGTCTATGTATGTATATATATGACCAGGTAAAGGCCATTGTACCCTCTTTTCTTACCCAGCCCTCCATTTTTTTCCAATTGACAACAGAGATTAAGAACTATTCTTGATTCAAGAAATTTGAGCAAAATCCACCCTCACCTTTTCAAAGCTGCTGTCAGAGACCTACTTGCTCTCTAGAGATGCTGTTGTTGACCTTTGACAAAATTCCAGTGACAGAGTCACTTCCCCAGTTTATACCTTTTTCACCACTTGAGGGAGTACTCTTTCTTGAAACAGATTTCTCTGAACGCATAGCCTGGCCCTCAGTTTGCTTGTGTTACTGATTGACCAAGTGGTATTCACTCTCCCTCATCCTACAAATGTAAATACTTAGGGAGAAGACACCCCTCCACTTTTCTGTTTTCCCTCCAACATTGGATACGTTTTTTTGGGGGGGTCTACCTTTTGCAGTGTATACCTGCACCTTCACTTCTCTAAATCTACCTACTTTGATGGATTGTTGATGAAGTTATAGTAATACAAAAAGGTGCTTGATTCCCACCCACTCCAAAATCTCTATAGGAAAGATATCTGTGCCAATAGCCATCAGGACCGTTTTTTAGATAAAGAAACGTGGAGGAGTAGGAGTGAACTGATATATGTGTTGCTGGATAGCTCAGTGGCTGAAGGCATCTGGCTATGGAGCCAGAGGGTTTGGAGTTCGAATCCTGCACTGTGCTTTCTTGATAATGGCTAGACTCAATGATCTATATAGGGCCCCTTCCAGCTCTGCAGTTCTAAGAGGATGATTATGATGCCATAAGGCCTCCCAACCTAGGACCCTGCAGATGCATTCGATAACAGCTCCCATCATTCCAATTAGAGTGATGTTGGCTGAGGAAGATGGGAGCTAGAGTCCAACATATCCGGAAGGTGCCGGGGTCAGGGAAGGGGCTACCGTAGACCCGCAGGACCTGTGGAAGAGCCGCCTGCCCGTGCATGCAGCCCTGTTGAATAGTCAAGACCAGTCTCCGGATTACAGACTTTTCCTCTCTCTTTGTCTGAATATTGTTATCAACAATTAAATAATGTGGAGGGTGCAGCCTGGTAGGTGGAGAAGCCAGTTTTTGGCAAGCGCTGCCTCTGATTTTTTAAAAAAATTCCCCTCAAGATTGGCTCTCGGTGTGAATTTTACATTTATTTTTATGAAGATCGGCTCGGGGAGGCTCCGGCCTAGTCCCGTCGCCATGGCAACAGGGGCCAGGCCTGCCAGTGGAAGGGGAGAAGTGGTCCCTCCGGGCTTCTCCTGCTCAGCCTTTTGGGGTTGTTTTGTTTTTTTAGGGGTTCTTGCTGTCGTGGGTGGGGATCCTGCCACAAATTCGAACCAAGAGGTGTTTTCCAAGGAAACGTTTTAACTGGACCCACCCCTGGGCACCGAGGGATTGCCCTCAACCCACCCTCCTTTCCTTGAGGTCCTCCTGAAAAACGAGGAGAGGGTGAGGTAATTGAGGCAAATCCGCGTGGGCCTTCTGGTGCCTTCATTTTAACCTAAAGGAGTCCAGATGGGTCTACCCACCCGTGGTCTCTCATCCTCTCTCTCTCCCTCCGGTTGAGGGGGTGATCCGATGGCAACACCCCCAAAATTACTATTATTGTGAATTTTTAAAATGCAAATAGCGACGGATGGACTGGATTTAGGCTGGAATTATGTACTGGCACATCCTGTTTCCATGCTCTCCGCCCTGTGCTCGCAGTTCAAAGCCGGTCCTCCAGCAAAACTGCCCCTTAATCCGTGGATATATGGATTTTTCGACCCATTTTGGGGTCTCCCTTGGGAAGCAGAGAGACAAGTGAAAGAAAGAGGGAGTCGCTGCAATCAAAGGGCGGAGCAGGGAAAGAGAGAAAAAGACCATATGAGTGGGATTGTCCAGGGGTTGGACAAATCCATGGAGAGATGGGTTTAAGCAGGGCTAGAGAATGTAACTTCCTATGGACTACAGGTCCCAGAACCCCCAGCCAGGGTGATCTATTGCAGGCCAGGCAGGCTGGGAATTCAGGGAGTGTTTTTAAAAGTAACGTTTCCAAGTTTTCTAGTCTTTAGGAAAAGCTCAGAGGGCAGTCACGTTAAATGGGTTTCGGAGAGAGACTGCATCGGGATCTCTCTGTGCCCACCTTGAACCCCAAGCCATTGCTCATCCTCTTCTTGTTACACAGGTCAGCTTCCTCACCCCGCTATTCTGGGATGTAATGCTAGGCAGCACCAGAAATGATCCAAAATCCTGCAGAGAAACTTTGGGGGGTGGGTGGGAATAATAAACCAAGCAGTTTATTAAATCAGCCAGACTCTTGAAAGGTTCTAACGTAGTTATCCTGTCTCCTTCTCTCTTGCAGGAGAGGTTGGGTGACCCTCCGGGGCTGAATCCTCGGCTAGGGGGTGCCCCAGATCTCCTCCTTCCCCCATTCTCTGTATCTCTACCTCACTCTGGGACGGACGGAAGATGCGTGCTTGGAAGGCCTTGGCCGGCACGCTGGCCTTTATGGGCGTGGATGTTACGGTGACCACACTACTCTACGAGCGTAGCCATGGCAACAGCAGCATCCTCCAGGACCTCAAGCACTTCAACATCTTCGATTCCATGTTGGACATCTGGGGGGCCTGCCTGTACCGGAGCTGCCTGCTTTTGGGCGCAGCCATCGGAGTAGCCAAAAACACCAACTACGGCCCCAAGCGGTTGAAAAGGTCCCGGATCTTTATCACCCTGGTCTGCCTGGCGGTGGGGATTTACGCCCTCGTCAAGCTGCTGCTCTACGCGGAGGTGAGGAAGACCATCAAAGACCCTTGGTTCTGGAGTCTCTTTGCCTGGACGTACCTCTCCCTGGCAGCCACCTATGGTTTGTGGCAGCTCCTGGCCTCCGTGAGACCCTCCAGGGAGACCTTGGGAGTGAATTCCGAGTCCAGGACGGAAGCAGAGGAAATTGGGGACCCAGTTTCGTCTCCCGGTGCTCAGGAAAAGAAAGAGGAGGCGTCGGCAGCCACCATTTGCAAGCTCTTGTCCTACACGAAACCAGATGCTCACTTTCTAGCCATAGCCTTTTTCTTCCTCATCCTTGCTGCTTTAGGTGAGGGGCCTCAGTTGAGGGAGAGTAAATATCCAACGTTGACACCCCTTGTCATTCATAACGAGTACTTATTTATTTTATTTATAGGCTGCGGAGGTTTGCATCTCAAGTGCCCCGCATTCAAAGGGCTCGATCCATACAGTGTTGCTGTGAATCTGTTAATAATGCTGTGAGCATTCTTACCTCTCAGTTCCTCGTGATTGCTAAGTGAGGCTGATGCTTGCCCAAACCCATCTTCGGGATTTCCCATTTCAGAACTTCTTGATTTGTTCCTGTCTCAGACATTGAACCAATATGTGCACTGTCTCAATCCTGCATGTTAATTTAACAAGGCAGAATTTGATGGGTTAATACCAGAGAGGGAGAAAAAGAATGGAAAGTTGTAGACCAGCAACACATGGGGTGGGTTTTGTGAGGGGAAAGGTTCCTGCCCTTGTTATTACAATCAGCATTCCTCCCCACCCCCATGACTCTCCATTTTTTTGGGGGGGGGGAATTAAGTTTGAAGACACAATGGCGTTTTAAGTCCTTATCAGAGTTTTGCCTTTTAATCTGCTTTGATGTATGTTGTCCTCCCTCCTGCCAACAGGAGAGACCTTCCTTCCATACTACACAGGCCGGGCCATTGACGGAATAGTAATACAGAAGAGCATGGAGCAGTTTTCCATGGCAGTGGTGATGATGGCTATGCTAGCCATAGGAAGGTAATTTTGCTGGCAGCACTGATGTATTAATCCTTGTTGTATAATTCTTTTGCCTAGGAGTGGGGAACCTTTTACTTTCAGGTTGTTTTGAGCACCAGCATCATCTCCCAGATGTCCCAGTGATAAGGGGATTATGTTTCCCCACCTCTGCCCAAGGAAGCCTTTCCTTGAAAACTTTCAAGTCACATAGTAATATAATGTAATTGTCCATGTGTGTCTGTATCAAGGGGGTGAGATTATTTAAGAGAAGCTGCAGAATTTGTCTATGGGCTTCAGTATTGGAAAAACCCATACAGTAGTTTCCTTTTGTGCGGTAGGGCTGGGCGGAACCATTGGTGTGTTGGCGTCTGTCCTATAATGTCTCTTTTCTGCCATCAGCTCATTTGCCGCAGGTATCCGGGGCGGCCTCTTCACCCTAGTTTTCGCTAGGCTGAACATCCGGCTTCGCAACACGCTGTTCCGATCGCTGGTCTCCCAGGAAATGAGTTTCTTCGACGAAAATCTTACCGGTGGGTTTCTCTGTGTGTCTTGCGAGAGCTATTTCTTGGCAGTCCTACCGAAAAGGGCAGGATGAAGCGCGTGGGAAATGAAACGTTCTAAAACTTGAAACATGATCACCGCTTTTCCTTTGGTTATAATGGAAATGCTTTAGCTGGCTGGATAGCTCAGGAGTTGGCTGTAGAACCAGAGGTGGGCAGTTCAGTTCCCCCCACTGTGCCTCCTAGGGGAAGAGCCAGCCTGGGTAGCCTTGGGCAACGTGCATGGTCCCAGAGTGCCCCCTAGAGGAAGGGAAGGGGAAACCACTTCTGAGTGTTCTCTACATAGAAAATGCTGAAAAAAGGGTTGCTATCAGTCTGAATTGAGTTGATGGCCTGCAGTTATTATTAAAATGCCGTGGCACAGCATAGAAATCATTAGAAGTGTATTTACCTGGAAGTGGGAGGAGCCCACTCATGAATTTGGGCCATTGTGCTCAGGTGATCAACCCCTCTTCCGTACACCTTTGCTGTGACAGGTTTCAAGTGTGACTGCAAGAAAGCATTGAGATAAAGGGTCCTCTGGTTTTGGAGTAACCAGAAATAGGCTTCTCCTGAGATTGCTTTTCTTGGGGTGGCCAACTGGGGCTCTCCTGATTGGACTAGAGCTTCCCAAAATGCTTCCCCGAGGGCTATGCTTGCTTGGGCTGATGTGAGCTGCAGACCAACGGCAGAATTTTCCTGCTACCCGGCCAGAGGGTTTAGAAGCCAAGCGTACATTTAAGTCTGAGCATGGTTTGGCCTGTGTGCTGAGGGATCTGGCAGCAAGCATCCATTTGACCAAAAGATACCACAAAATACCTGGCTCTCTGCCTTCCAGCACTGAGAGAGGAGAGGACCGTCAAGTTTCTCTCCAATGAGCAGCAGGAAACAAATGTTAAACCCCAGGGCTCTGTTAAAGAAAAGTCGGCAGAAAGCAGTACGGCATCTATTGGTAGATCTCGAGAGGTTTCTGGTAGATTTCCAAATATTTCTCGATGACAAATATTTCAGCAGTGTCGTTGAGCAAAAGTGACTCTCATCTGTGTCCCAATTGAACTGTTAAAATGAAGAAAGCCTGGGATAACACAGAATGGATTCTTGTGTTGTTAGGAAGGATTGTGAGCTCCAGTTGAATCTGGGGCCGTCCGTTCTCTGGGTTATGTCGCTCTTTTATTCTAGTTTAATATACAAAATACATCTCTAGTGTCTGGCTGCAAACTGATGGGTTTCTAGGAAGACGCAAGGTGGTTTGCACACGCCCGAAAAATATCCCTCTCCTGATTTAAAGGACAAGAGGCGCTCTGCCGGCCACCATATTTGCAGTTCCACTGCCTATCAGTGTCGTGCTAATTTTAAAGCAAGTGCTTGTGGTAACGCCAAGAGAGTCCAACATGCAGGCTACGTGTAGATACCCGTCCGCACACGATCGTGCGGTTATGATCGCTCTGCCGGCCACCATATTTGCAGTTCCTCTGCCTATCAGTGTCGTGGTAATTTTAAAGCAAGTGGTAATGCCAAGAGAGTCCAACATGCAGGCTGTGTGTAGATACCCGTCCGCACACGATCGTGCGGTTATGATATGAGTACTTGTGCATGGAAACACACCTTTTCCTCAACGCAGCAGATGACCCATACTTAGAATACACATCTTTTTAAAAAAAGGATCTGGAAGTGGAGTCACAGCCATTGGACTTCTTATTAGGCTGAAGCGCTTCGCTACTCATCCAAGTAGCTTCTTCAGTCTGGGGAAAGTACATTTTTAAAACTACTTTCTCAGGATTGTACCTAGGGTACATTAGGGTTTCAAAGACACAGTTTGAAGTTATTCAGATTATAACCATTTTAAGAGGTTCTTCATCCCGAGAAGGCCAGGCCCCATTTTTCTGCTGGTGGCCATAGAAAGATCTTGTGTCTTCTGAAGGATTTTTCCTCTCTGCTCAGTTTCTCCAGGTGTTTTGGCCTGCAGCAGGCACAACCCCTCGCCACTGCTTTTTATGTTGCCTGGGGCTGCTGGGAATTATGGCCATAGAAAGATCTTGTGTCTTCTGAAGGATTTTTCCTCTCTGCTCAGTTTCTCCAGGTGTTTTGGCCTGCAGCAGGTAGAACCCCTCGCCACTGCTTTTTGTTGGCTGGGGCTGCTGGGAATTATCGCTAAACTCATCTGGAGGGGCACAGTCCCCCACCCTGACCTTATGCCTCAGCCTACAGCCCATGGCTTCCGTCCTCATTCTTCCTCCCGTCTTTCCCTTGCAGGTGACATTATTTCCCGGCTCACGTCGGACACGACGATTGTGAGCGACCTGGTTTCCCAGAACATCAACATCTTCCTGCGCAACATGGTCAAGGCCACCGGCATCATCGTTTTTATGTTCAGCCTTTCATGGAAGCTTTCCTTGGTGACCTTCATGGGCTTCCCCATCATCATGCTCATGTCAGACCTTTATGGGAAATACTACAAGGTGAGCATCTTGGAACACTTCCTTGAAGTGGGAGGGCCACGGGATGGGTGCAGGCGTTGGCACTGGGTGCCTGCAGCGTCGGCAGATCGCCTGTGTTTCCCCAAGGCCCATCCGCCTTTTTTCCGATCCACCCCTCCAAGAAGTGGTGTATCGCTGAGAAGGAACAGAATCAGGGAGGCTCCTCTTTTCAGAGACGGCTCAAGGAAGATCTTGCACGAGATGCAGTGAGAAAGGGCAGCTTTATTTGTCGCTTTGCTTGGACGGTGCTGCCGTCCCGCTGCTACTCTTTTGTTGCTGTGGGATGGATCCATGATCCTGCTCCCTGAAGCGGGTAGGAAAAGCTGGTAGGCAGCTGTGGATCCTCTTACCGTCTCCAATGGCGTAAATGAAACAGGAGCCCTCTCTAGAGGGGAGGTCCTGGGAGACTCATGAAAATGGTGGATGAAAATGGCTTTTCTTCCTCAGCCCTCTGTGTAAATGCTGGACGGTATCATCCAAAGGTAGCTTTGCACATTCCCTGAAGTAGGAGGCCTTCTGTCATAGGAACCGAAGAAGGTAACTTAGGCTGGGTCCAGTGCTGTTCATGCTTAGTAGCTCTCTGGGAATTATTTTCCCAGAGAATCCCTCTAATTCTCTCGCAGTCTTCCACCCAAATTACCTGCTAACCAGGCCTGATTCTTCTCCAGTTCCAAAATCAAATGACATTGGATATGATCAGGGTAGTATGATACACTGCGAGTATCCTGTATAGTTATTGTTTTGGCTTCCTTTTAAAAAAAAAAATTCCATAAGAAACTGACTTGTTGGTGTGGCATTTTATTTTATTTATTTATTTAAAATATGTTTACCCTGCCTTTCTCTTTGAAAGGTCGCTCACATCATTGAAAGGCGAGATTTAAAAGCCAGCTGGACGGTATCATCCAAAGGTAGCTTTGAACTTTCCCTGAAGTAGGAGGCCGTCTGTCATAGGAACTGAAGAAGGTAACTTAGGCTGGGTCAGCTCCATTGGTTGATTTAAAAGCCTCAAAGAATAAGTATACAAATATTTAAAGAGAATTAAATAAATAATAATTCTGCAGAAGGACAGCAAAAGTGGGGGCCAGACTAGTCTCCAGTGGGAGGGAGTTCCAGTGTCTAGACCTAGTTTAAAGATTCTCTTAATCTCTGAAAAGAAATGGGTTTCATCTTGAGGGTTCTGCCTTTTTCAGGGGGGCTCTAAAGGTGAGGCAGGAAAGAGCAAGGGAGACATCTTTGTTTCTCCCCACCTTTGTGTGGCCTTGGGATGCATGACTGATTGGAATAAATCTTCTGCACGTCACCTCATGGTCACTTCACTCTGCTTCCTCCTGATGGAAGCTATCCTTCACTGACTTGTCACACCAGGTAGTTCTCACCTGTCCATCCCTCCATCCTTACGAGCCAGCGGATGGCATCGCGCCTGCCTCTGTGTCAGCCTTCCCAGATACAAACGGCCTGTCAGCTGTTGGAAGGAGCGCTTAAGTCAGCAAACACACTTTCCCCCGTCCTGCCACGTCCTTCAGGCTTCCCCAACTCGATTGTACTGCAGAGGCGAAGAGCCGGGCCAGCTTCTTACTCTGGGCACAGAGGCGCTTCTGTAAGGGTTGAGTCACTGGATGAATGCCTGGCCTCGAGCCAGCACCAGTTTCTTGGCTGTTTTGTTGAAAGATGAATCTTACTGAGAATAAGAATAAAGGAGGTGTCTGCGAAATGAGGGTCTGTGGGACAGGCAGGGTTTGTTGATCTTCTTAATATATGTGTTCTCCCTCTTCCTGGCTCTGAATGACCAATTATGCCTTTTCCCTGTGGCCCCAACCAGTTCCCGATCAGGCTAGCGCCCGTCTGCCTTCAGATATCTTTCTCCACCTCCCATCAAGCTGGTGAGACGGACGGCAGGATCTCTACAGGGTGGTGGCCGCCACCGCCCATCTGTGGATCACCACCGCTATTTTCGCCCACCCTCTTTTTCTCGAAGGCACTCGTGAATATGTATGGCAAAGAGGAAGCCCCATGTTTGCGCTGACCCACCGCTTTAATCTCAACCACCGAGTCCTGGAGTCGGGAGAATTCCCACGCGCCCTCTAGGAGAAAGGCACACAGCAGCGCCCGGCCAGCGCTTGGTTTTGCTGAGGAGCTGCTTTTGTCCTGTGAGGGGGAGGGAGGGGGCAGCAGACGGGCAAACCCCTGCCACGTTACCCAAAAAAGAACCTGTGGCCACATCCTGTGGCTGGAGATGCTGCTTAGTCAAGATCATCGGTCAAGAGAGTCAAGAGGATGCCGTTATCAATAGGCCGGGTTTAGTCTAGAGGCCGTCCCTCCCAGTGGGTTATAAATGGATCTGATGGGTGTTCTTATAGCCTTCCCTTGAAGATCTCCCAGGAAGACACCCCACGGTCTCTGTGGGTAATTCCCTCAGCGGCTGATTTTCAATCCTCCCAGTTGTCATATGGCCAAAGCCTTAAGACCTGCCTTACAAAGCTCACGGATTGCTGCTTGGGATCATTTCTCTCTCTCCCGCCCCCTGCTATTGAACCAAATTCCTCACCACCTCCGTGCTGTGTCCACCATACAGAAGCTCTCCAAGGAGGTTCAGAGCGCTCTGGCAAAAGCCAACAACACAGCCGAGGAGACCATCTCAGCCATGAAGACGGTCCGCAGCTTCGCCAACGAGGCCGTGGAGGCCAATGTTTATTGGGAGAAGCTGCAGCAGGTCTACAAGCTCAACAAGAAAGAAGCCATGGCCTACACTTACTACGTGTGGTCCAACGGGGTAGGTCCAAACCCTTCCTCCTCCTCCTCCTCCTCCTCCCCCTTTTAGGCTGCCTGGGCCACAAAACCCGCCTCCGGCAGCTCAAAGGAGGTCACGAGGCTTGGTCACGTTGGTGATCCCCGATACCTGGTCTCTCTCTCTCTCTCTATTTCAGCTGACGCTCCTTATTGTCCAAGTCAGCATCCTGTACTATGGAGGCCACCTGGTGATCTCTGACCAGATGACCAGCGGAAACTTGATCTCCTTCATTATTTACGAATTCGTTCTGGGAGACTGCATGGAGGTAAGCGTTGAGCACTATCTGATCTCAGCTGGTCAGGCCAGAACAGAAAATACAAATACAAAATAAGGAAGACAAAGAAACACTGGGGCACCATCAAGACGGATGTGTTTTAATATTAGCTTCCATGGGCAAGCCCACTTCCACAGACCGAGATAAAACAACAGAGCTGATGTGTCTTCTGTCTTTGCCGGAGCTGCTAGCCCAGGCTCACAGGGCTACCTCTTCGAGGACTAGCTTGACTCGAAAGGGCTTATTCCAGGCCCGTTCTGATCTTCGGATATTTCGCTATATGTTCAATATAATTATTTTACCTCCTCTTTTCCCTTTGTTGCTAGTTTTGTTTTTCCATTAACGTTCTGCCTCTTAGTTCTCTCTCTCTCTTTCTGCTTCTCTCTCTCTTATATATAAGAGAGATCCGGCAAAGACAAAAGACATATCAGCTCTGTTGTTATATAAAAAAAAACAATTTTCTTTTATTTTTACTCTTTTCCCCTCCCTTTATGGCCTATTCAGCCCTGTTTAAAAAGCCCGTTTCTTGTAAAAGCAGCCATTGACTCAGAGGCATCAAGTATATCTTTGCTTAAACATCTGCTTCTCTTGGCACTTGCGACCCAACCAGGAGGTTTCCTCTGGCTGTCCGCTTTAGTAGATCCCGAAGGGACGTCACACTCTGAATTGTTATAATTCACTTTTAAAGCCACCTAACCCGCACAATGCCAATCCATTCGCTCTACTCTCTCTCTCTCTCCTTTCAGTCCATCGGCTCCGTCTACAGTGGACTGATGCAGGGTGTTGGCGCCGCTGAGAAAGTCTTTGAGTTCATAGACCGGGAGCCAACCATGGTGAGCGATGGGACCCTGGCCCCCAGCCAGCTGGAAGGCAAAGTGGAGTTCCGGAACGTGACCTTTGCCTATCGCACCCGGCCTGCAACCCAAGTCTTACAGGTACATTTCTGCCTTCTTCCTGTGGGTTTGCTGTCAACGTGTAACCGATAGCCAAGGGCCCAGAATCTGCCATCTGCGGATAGAAAAGCTGCACTCATAGAAGGTGCTGGAGCTTGCTTTTTCTGGCTCCACCGTAGACTATGTCAGTTGTTTTGGGGGGAAAAATGGGGAAAGTGGTCAATTGATAGAGACGGATCATATCTTACTGCCGGTCTCAGCTGGGAAGAAGACCTACCGAATGCTGGTTAGTATTGACACAGATGGCATTAGGGTGAATGGCTCTTTTCTAATTAGGACCGACTGCAAGACGCTTGTGTACCAGACCGCCTAGGGGTCTTCTCCATTTCCTGCTGTTTTCCAGAATGTCTCCTTCACCCTCCCTCCTGGGAAAGTGACGGCTTTGGTGGGGCCCTCGGGCAGCGGAAAGAGCTCTTGCGTCAGCATTATCGAGAACTTCTACCCGCTCCAAGATGGACAAGTCCTGCTGGATGGCCAGCCTATTAACATGTACGAGCACAAATACCTGCACTCAGTGGTACGAGTCACAGATCGCCGGATTCTAGCTCTAACCAGACCTTAGGCACGGGCCAAACCCATTCTGTGGAAGGGTAGAGCATGAGTGGGCAGCCACCAAGGATCGGGGCCAATGTCTCCTTCGGCTGGACCTTGGTAGCTCTCGCCTGCCCTTTCTTCAAAAGTGGGAGTCACAGACGCTAGCTTCTATAAGTTACTCGGAGCTTGAAATAGAGGTGATGGAGAGCTTTTAAGTAAGACCACGTTCTCCAGAGGTTTTGGGGGGGCCAGTCCTAGCTTGGTGTATTATCACAATGAAAAATCCTAGAGGAGGAGTTTGCTAGTCTGCACGTCCCTTATTCTTCATTTAAAGGGGAAAGGAAAGGAAAGGGGAAAAATAACAGAAGGTTCTAGCCATTAGGGCTAAGAAAAAAACATTTGAGAGTCCCAACAGCCGGAGAAGGTTTCTAGGATTCTGACGGAGGACTTCAGCTCAGACTCTCCTGGTGGCAAGTTGAACATAAATGCAGTATTCAAGAGAAGAAGAAAATAAGAGAGATGGAGCAGACTTGAATAATTTGAATAATTGATGCAGCTTGTCAAATACTGCCTGAGTCCAAAGGGACCTACTCAGAATTGCCTCTTTATCTTTTAAGTCTGAAAGGAACGCGTAACTTTTGGGTTGGGAAGGCTACCATCCCGCAATGCTGGTATGTAGGTGAATCTAATGAAGTTATCTGTAACATGCACTGGCATAAAAGGAGGGTCCTGACAGAGTCTGTTACTGACACAAAGCGATGAAGCTGCGCAATTCATTCCTGGAGTTCACTCTGTTGAGCAGTGGGTGCCTTTTTAAGCAAGGAAAGTCCAGCCTGTTATTCAATTTGTGACTCTTCCCCCCTCCACCACCCCCATCCCTGTCTTCCATTCTCCCTGTAGATTTCTTTGGTGAGCCAAGAGCCGGTGCTGTTTGCCCGATCTATTGCAGAAAACATCTCGTACGGCTTGTCCTCTGCCCCATACGAGTCGGTGGTTCAAGCTGCCCAAAAGGCTAACGCTCATGTGTTTATTACAGAACTGCAAGATGGCTACCACACAGGTATTGGAAATATGCTTGTTTTTTTTTCTTTTGAGAGATCAGAGGAAAAAATCTAGGTTCACACTTACGAGCTGTGTGACTGTGCATTGAAGAGAACCAAATGGGTGCTTCTTGCCCCATAAGCAGAGCTGCACAACTCTCATGCACACTCACAGGTATGGTGCCTACCTGCTGGGATCCCTTCCTTCCTTCCTTCCTTCTCCTCATCCCTCCCCTTCCTTCCTTCCTTCCTTCCTCTGCTTCATTTTCAGGTGCTCGATGACCCCAGCGAGGACCACTTATACATGGGTAAACAACCCTTTCCTCCCTCCCTCCCTCCCTCAACTCAACTTCATGCTTTTGCTTCTTCTTTTGCTCTTGGTCAAAACAGAAGCTGGCGAAAAAGGAACCCAACTTTCTGGTGGTCAGAAGCAGAGGGTGGCGATCGCGAGAGCTTTAATCAGAAATCCCCCCGTCCTGATTCTTGATGAAGCCACGAGTGCCCTGGATGCGGAGAGCGAGCATGCGGTGAGAATTCATATTGGAATGCCATGCTCGTTTTGTGCAAAGATTCAGGGAGCCAATGTATGGGTGGAAGGCTTTGCCTTACACTGAGAGCGGATCCATGTAACCCAAGGCTGACGGGCAGCAGCTGCCCAAAGGATCAAGCAGCCAGCTTCGCTACCTTTTAATTGTGGAAGAAATTAGACTTGGAGCCTCCAGGGGAGATGGCTTTGCCACTGTGCCTATGGCTCTCCTCCTGTTTTATGCAAAGTTTGACCGCCCCCGCCCCCGTGCTGTTTAAATAGATTAGTTGTATTCCTATACCTGCAGGAGGCTCAGCAATCAGCCTTTTCTCCCCTAGCATTGCTGCTCAGGACCTTAATACTGAACTGGGGACCTTAGGCGTGCAAAGCCTCCATGCTGCCACTTCCATGCTCACCTCATCCGTATGAGAATGAACAGCATGCATACTGTGCTGGTCTTTAACAGATACTTAGGTTTTTGGTTAAAACTTATATCTGTTATATAATATTAGTCAATGTTTTTTATAATTTGGATTGACTGTGCCTGGTATTTTTGAATAATAATAATGATTATGATACTAATGTTAATAAAGAAATGCAAAACAACAAATATTGATACAAACTTGAGAGCCCTCGGTGGTGATGATGCTTGTTTTAAGTGCATTTTTGAAACACCACCGGCTTCCCTCCTTTGTCAACTAGAAGCTGTTATTTGCTTACCACAGGCGAACTATTTTTAAGCCTGGTTTTAGGTATATGTTTAGTACAGGAGAGGATTCCTAAGGTATATTTGTGTTGTGCGTTCATTTCCTGTTGCCATTGTGAGCCTGTGGCGTGGGCCTGGCTGAAAATTAACACAGAAGACATGAACACAGTCCTGCGGTGGCTTTCTCTTCATTTCTTTAAACCTCTCTTCTTCTTGGCAGATTCAAAGAGCCATTTACGAGGATGTCCAGAACCACACGGTGCTTGTTATAGCCCACAGGCTAAGCACTGTGGAGAAGGCGCACAATATCATTGTTCTCGACAAGGGCTGTGTGGTACAGCAAGGGACGCACAAGCAGCTGATGGAAGAAGGAGGCCTTTATGCCCGGCTGGTGCAAAGACAGATCCTGAGCCATGAAACCGGTACAGGGGACAGCTGTCAGTTGGATGGCAGCTTGGCGGGCAACAGGAGAGAGTCTCCAAAAACAGGAGTGGCTTAAGAGCTCAGGGCGGGGGGCATCACGTCACACAAGCTGTGCTTGACAATTTTGAACAGGACCGCCCTGCTGAATTCGGCGGTGAAAGTGCGAAGGAGTCATGCTGAAATTTGAAAGGAAGGATTCTCCTCTCTAGCATAGCTTCACCAACGTTTCCTGTCTGAGGGTCTTTGTTTACACGTCTTAAGCAGTCAGTGTGTGGAGCACACCGTTCCCACTAGACAGCGCCCCTCTGAGCCGCAAGAGAACCGGGGGGGGGCTAAAATTTCCACAGTAGCCCCTCGTGTTCTCTTCTTCCACCGATACGCATGCAAAATTTTGTTATTAATTAAAATGGGTGTGATTTGGGGTGCATGCACTGGAATGACCTGAGAAGGATCTCTAAAAGTGGCTTTCTGGACTGGTGAGGGAATCCCTGGCTTAGATCTGGTGTCCTAAACCATTGGTTGCAGTTTGGACCACTCCGGTGCCTAGAAGTATCCTGTGTTACTTCCATTCAGTTCACTTGGACCTAAAAGCATGGCATGCTCACGAAAGCGTTATTTTATTTGAGGTGTTTGGCTCACAGTTTTGACCATCCTGTCTGCAGGATTTGCAGTAATGACTCTTGGTTCTGGATGCTCTGATCTGAAATATGCAGAATCATACATGATGCTTTTGTGGGGGGCGCAGGGGAGAAGGAGCGAGAGCTTTTAATATTCTTTAAACGGGGCATCCAGAATCATAATTCCTTTTTTGTGTGTGTTCAGCCCCTCACAAGCAAGGCTGCAGCCGAATTTCTTTCCATATAGATGAAACTTAGTTGAGGATCCAGTGGATAAACTTTTCCCGTAGAGGCTGTCTAAGAGAGATCCTTCTTCCCACACACACTTTGGTTAGCTTCCGATCTGGGGGAGGGAAACAGCCATTGAATTGCCACAAAATTATTTTACATTTCTGGCTTGGACATGTCGTTACACAGACCGTTGAGCATCCCACTTTCACAGCAAATAAGACAATCGTATATTTTAAATCAGCAGGGTCCACCGGGAACATTTCCCGGCTGAGCCTTGTTGAAAGAGGTGGAGATCGTGCAAGATCGTCAACTCACCATTATTTTGCACGCCTTCCAGTTCTTTCCTCCTAGTGGCTTGTGCTACAGTGGTGGGCATTGGGGATGATGAGAAGTTCCCCCTAAATCTTGCTTAAGCACCTTCAATTAAAACCTTTTTATTTCCCCCAATCTTCAGGTTATTGGGGTTATTCTGTTCTTGGTTACGTAGTGAAACAAGGGAGAATTAAAAAGAAGACCAAAATCTCAAGTTCTACCTCCCTTTGGATTCGATTAATTTGTCCCAGTCTTGTTACAGCTTCGTGAAGAATCAGGAGGAGTTCTTTGATGGTTAACACACGGAGGGCGACCAAAAGCAAAAACTTGACGGTGACTTGAGTAATTAGCGTTTTAAAAATAATATTTTGTTGTTCTCTGTTTCTAGCCTCTCCAGTTGCACTAGGTTGGAAAATGACCACAAGCACTTTAGCTCATTTTAGTTTATTTCTGATATTTCAAGGCTGCTGTGTTTTGAGCAGGTTTTTGTTCGCAATATTTAAGAGAAACCTATAATATTTTAGCAATATTTTACAAACACTTTACAAAATAATAATAAAAAGACTACCTCTGATAATTCATGGTTGGTATCAACAATTTTTTTTCTTGATTGTGTTTTCATGGTTGTGACATTGGGTGTTGTTTCAGAATCCCAAGGCTGCCAAAGATCCGGTCACCTTGATATCACCGGCTTTCTTCTTAAGCGCCCAGGAAACAGAGTAAGATTCGAGAGGCAGATGTTCACATAAAGGTTGGACTGCACGCATGAAGATGGTTTTTCTTATAACTTGGTCCAAAGTCATGTTGGGTTTTAAAGACTAGGATGAGCACTTAGCCTGGTTGGGGTTGTGTACACAAGTTGGTGCACAGCTTGAATTGTTGGCTATTTTGTATGTATAGCAACAGCAACATAAATAGGCTGGTAGAGCAGTTTTTTTGTTTTGTTTTTTTACCAAACAGAATACGCGAATGGATTTTAAGGTAACTTGTGCCAGCTATGTGAATGTAAGAACCTGCCTCAGGAGAAGGTTAAAGAGCTCTGGAGATTAGACTTGCAAATCATGTTTCTGAATGTTCCCGTACAGGCAGATTTTTGCGAAGGTGACTCACAGATACGCCTGGCAAGCCTGTTGATGTTCACCTTGCATGGATACGAGGTCAAGGGTGTGGGTAAACACACAGAGGAGATATTTGCAAATAAGCCAGGTTGTTTCCTGAAATTGCAGTTACCCTGGAAGTAGCTTCCTTGTAACTTAAACTCCTGAAGTTATGATGGGCCGTTGGTGTAAAAAGAGCGAATTTACTGGACAGACGATTTCTTAGTAGTACTAACACACATGCGCTTGAGAGTTTATCCGACCGTGTAATCAAGAAATGAGAATCCAGGCCACGAAAAGGAAACAGATATACAAGTAAATCGTTATGAAACGGTACATCGGTCACAAATACAAACTGCAGCTGGATAATTACCATAAAATAATGTCAGAGAGTCACCTTGAAGATGGGGAAGTCTCGGTATCAGTTTTCACTAATTTCACAGCTTTCTCTGACTTTGGCACCTTTTTTTTTAGCTACCTGAACATTCATAGAGTGATGCTTCTCCACTCAATTAACATTTTCTCTAAAGAGGTGGGTGACTCATCCTGGACATTTTCCACTCCGCCTAGGACAAGGCTAGGAGAATGGAACAGTAAGTCCTCGCACCCGGGCGGGGCAGCAATTGCGAAAAATCCATGTTGATGGGAAGATAGTGGGTGAAATCAGGATGTCACTCCCCCACCCAGTATTTCCACCCACTTTTTCTTCATAGCAGGTTGGTATGATTTGGCTCGGATTATGCTGCTCTCAAACCTAGGTGTGCCCCCGTTGTGAGACAGTCTAAGAGGTACTTCTCAGTGGGGCCCCGTTTGCCATCACTGTAACTGTGTGTGTACACACATCAACTCTGCACATACACAGTTGGGTTCTTTAGATTTCCATGTATTTGTGGTATCTGAAATCAGGGTTCATCTGTGTACGTATAATTCCACCATTTCTTCTTTTGTACTGTAAGAATAATGATTTAATTTATTATTGGGCTCCCCTTGTGCTTTTTTCCTCCCCTTCCTGAAAGCCAAGGCTGTCCTTTTCAGCTACATAACTCGATATCCTATCTGAAAATGATCAGGTGTGCAGTTGTTGACATAGCTACAACTAAAGGCTCACATACAGGGTCAGTCCACTGATGATTCTCCATCAAGCATGAAGGCACGCCCTTGTGTATTGTGCAGGATTCTCCACCTAAGCTGTTCTACGGGCTGCACCTCGAAAGGAGATTAAGAAGATACACGATACAATTGCCTTTGACCAAATAACTGTTTTCAAATAAAAAAGGTAAATGTTCTGTGTTTTTAGAAGGTACGTAGATATGTCACCAGATGTTGGTATTTACTGTAGAAGAAGCATTCTGTCCCGTGTGAGGCCTCTACGTGTCATCTGCCACCTGCAGATTTTAAACTTTTTAGAAGGTACGTAGATATGTCACCAGTCGTTGGTATTTAGAAGAACCATTCTGTCCCGTGTGAGGCCTCTATGTGTCATCTGCCACCTGCAGATTTTAGATATACTGGCGTTAAAAATTATGAATATTAAGAACATTAATTGCCACTTTAGTAAAATTAAATTGAAACACTGATAAAATTCAGGAGCCATAATCGGAAAAAGTTTGATCAAAATTTGCAGCCCCAGACAGAACATACCTGATAAAATGAATAGGCACAGATCCCAGTTCGACTAAAGTTAGATACAACTGAATTAATTTGGAATGAATCCGATGTTTGAAAGAAAGGACAAGCTGCTCAATAAAAGGTTAAGATGCAATGTAAAAAAATAAATCAGATATGTGAGTCCTGCTACGTTTCTGTGGGAAATTGATGGTATTTTGCTCTTTTAATAACAGCAGTTTGGAGGTGCAGCAAAGGCTACTCTTGTATAATACTTAACTACGATGCAATTTTCGGGAACACAGATTTTAAATTCTGTCCTCAGGATACAACAGTTCTTTACAGGTTTCAAGACTGGAAGAGTCCTAGGTCAAGGAGGTAACAAAAATTAGTCAGGAATGTTGACTAATGGTTCTGCATTTAGGAACTGCAATCTTACGATGTAAGTCTGAGTTATATCAGTATTGTGTTCAGTGGGCCTTATTCTCAAATAAGTGTATGTGTGTTTGCAACTTTGGACAAACAAGATTGTCCATACTTTGGGTTGTAGAATGAAGCTGAATGTCACAAAGACTTGCCAGAAGTCAAAATACAGGCCAGGCTGTATACTAATGTTCAGTAGCTTTGGCTTTATAAAATTGTTAGGGTTTATAAGGTTCCCCCCCCTTAAAATCTTTCATGGAAATTACCCGCTGAGATCAGGGGCAGGAACGTAATGCTCTCGTAAAGCCCTTTTAACTTTTCTCACTTTTGTTTTGCCTTCAAATACTCTACTCACCCAACAAGAAATTATGTAATGATGTGATGTCTCTGAATAGCAAGGCAGCGACATCACCTTATCTATAACCTGAATGCTCTTTACTCCACCCTGGAAGCTATTAAACTCAACCACATTTTAGTAATGGAGGGAAATGTATTTGTCTATAGCAGAAACATTCCTAGAAAAGCTAGACACCCTTTCCCCCACAACGGTATTTTGTTATGCAGGATGCCGTTCAGCTATTGAGTGGCTAAAATAGTATTTAAAGATAAATACTGTACTTTTCAATAATTTTGCCTGTCGCAAAGGTGGCCAGGCCTCATGCCTGTGGAACCCATTTTGGTCAAGGTGTATGTGTGTGTGTTTTGCTAAAATGCTCAGTGCCACAATCCACCGCACGAGGCCTTGAGCAAGATCACTGTGAATTATATTTCTGCACCCGGGAACTTGTGGTGATCAGCAGAACTGAGCAATGCTCACAGTCCTTAAACACATAAAAATCCTCTCCTGGCCACCCTTCAACTTTTCTTTATTTCAGGAGCATACTTGGAGATGTTCCGGGAACAGTCAATCTCCGAACATTGCAAAATGAGCAATACATGGGTGTGTCTTAAGATGGCACCATCAGAAGCTCAATGGCACATAGGGCAATTGTTGTGTTAAATGCTCCCAGCAGACTTACTTGGGCAAGTGATCCGTCTAGCTTTGTGTCGGCTACACAGTGACTGGCAGCAGCTGTCTGAATTTTCCGGCAGAAGGTCTCTTAGAGCCCTAAGGAACGGCGGCGGGCAATGAGCCTTGGCAACTTTGCATGCGAAGCCTGTATCCTGTCACCAATCTACAGCTTTTCCCAAAAGAACGAGGGACACATCATTGTCTGCTCAAATGCAATCACTTTTTGCGATGCAGAAGGATTACGTTGATTGACAGTAATAAAAAACAGAGCCTCTTGGTAGTACAATGGGGATATTGGCTGTATAAATGTTTCCATCCAAATTAATAACAATTGCTAACATTGATCATGAGAGCAAAACTTTAGCATTAATAACTATTGCATCTGTGTAGCTAATGACAAGATGACAGACTTATAAGAGGTATGTAACAATATATTGTTTAATTCTTATAGTTCTCGTGCCTTGAACTTACAAATTCTTGCTCGTTTAGGTAGCATTAGGACTCTTGAATATATTTTCATGAAACCCACATCTTCCTCCAGCATCAAACTCTGAATTAAATGATTTTGGTTAATAAGTGGATATTATGCCAGTTTCACCACTGGAGATACAAAAAAGGATTGGAGTTTAAATCAAGCAGGATCGGAGTGATAAAGACAGAAGCCTCAGAAGTGCAATCTCAGTAGTAATATTAATGGCTCAACCTATGTTATTCCTAGCTGATTAAACCCTTATGCCTAGAACACAATGGTTTTAATCAGCAAAAATTAACAGAATATTGAATATTTATTCTCTCCTTGGATAGGCCGTCTTTGTAAAGAAAGCCACAGTCCTATGTTTAAAAGAGCCAGAGAGGAGCTGTTGAGGACTAGACATGTGGAAGATCTCTTGTTTATAGGGTGGCTGTATGTCAGAGGTGACTTGACCGCACGTCCCAACAAGACGCAAATTTGCAAATCCGAAGTATAAAGGGATTCCTGGAGGAGAGCCGTTTTTCAGATCTGTCCTAAAATGATGGGACGGATAAAAAGGAAGGGCTGGTGAAATATTGGCTCTCCAATACTGTATTTCTCTTTCAACGGCACATGCATCTGGTCTGGAAGAAAGAAAAAGAAGAAAACCTCCTTTCAGTTCCCAGCTAAAAACAAGCCACATGCTTGGGCGCGAAGTGAGGATGCCCTGTTGTAGTCATAGCAGCTATCTTGCCAGATGGTGTTTTTACATAACAATTTTTTTTTAAAAGTGGGAGTTGCAGCTGCAGAGATTTCGAGACCCAGGGCAGGCAGAGAAAAGGAAAAGAAGAAGAACAAGGGGGGGGGGGAGAAGAAAGGAGAGGGTTGATGGAACCCGCCTGTCCTAAAATTTAATCCTTTATGGGTGAAGAGGAGAGAAAGCAGCCTTTTCCTCATTGAATGAGGGTTGCACAGCTTGCCTCTCTTCCCTGTACTGTATATGTATATATGGCTCTCCTGCTCTCTCTCTCTCTCTCTCTCTCTCTGTCTAACTATCTATCTATCTAGAGAGCACAGGAAGATATATACACCTGTCTATAAGGGTTTAACATATAGCACAGGAAGTTAAATATATTTGAATATAAATAATGAATATACAGTATTTGTATTTAACTTCCAGTGATCTATGCCAGCCAAAAGGCACTACTGATTCCTTAAAAGGGGCAGCTTTTAAGTTTACAAGCCCTTTTGAGTTTTTGAAGCCATGGAGGCCACCAAGATCGCTCAGAAGCTGGAAAAAACCAGGAAAAGAATGGATTCTTTTCCCCTGAAGGAATATTAAAATAAAAAAATCAAAGGGGGCGGGAATGTATTTGACGTTTTATTTATTTGAAATTCAGTATTTATTTAAAATATGTACATAACGGGTTCCTTCCTGCGTTCCCCCACCCCCGACTTTTTTTCCCCTGGTGTCGTTTTTTTTCCCCCCTCAACCTTGATCTGGCTACCTGGGATTGAACCCCAGGTCGTGAGCACAGTTTTGGCTGCAATACAGTAGTTTAACCACTGCGCTCTATCTATAAATAAAAAGATCACTATGCTCACCACTGTACCTACCCTGTGGCTTTCACTGCTCCTGGTCTTTGAATGCTCACACTTTTTTCTCTTCCCTCAAACAACACAACTCTTTGTCCATTGCTCATGTTTTTGCCTGTAATAATAATAATAATGTGATTTATTCTCAGAAACCCACACTAGCCCCGCCCCTCCGTTTCCCGCCTCATTTCGGCCACTCCCCCCACGCGCGCGCGCTTCTCCCCGCGTGACTTGCAGCACGGGGGCGCAGCAGAGCAGGGAGGAGGGTGAAAACCCACCAATGGCGCGTTGACGTCTCCAGAAGCTCCGCCCACTTTCTCCCTCCTCCTTCCTCGGCTCCCTTTACCTGGCAGTTACCCTCCGAAGAAAGGGAAGGAGCGGCGGGAGTGGTTTGGGAAGAGCGGCGGCGGTGCAGGCGCAGGCGCGGTAGCGGCAGGGAGGGAGG